AGGCCTGGGCTGGTGATCTGGGCAGGAGGCTGCCTGCTGCTGGTGGCTGGACAGGGCAAGAACTGGATCTGGGACTGGACTGGGAGGGGGGCAACGAGAGGAAAATCGACAATGGGGACCTTCTCACTCAACATCCACCCCTGGGCACTTCCATGAGGCCAGACCCGCAGGCCGCCCAGGGAGTCAGAAACTGGCTCAGATCTCGGGGGCGGGGGCGGGGGCTCAGCCTGGGAGCCTGGCTCTGCAGGGCAGACCTAAATGACAGGCCTCTGCAGCCATAGAGCTGTGACAGGTCAGTCCAGGGTGCCGCTGGATAAGGACCCTAGGCCCAGCATTGGGGTTCAAGGAAGGCTTCCTGCAGGTGGTGTCAGGAGAGTCCCCGGGGAGCTAGCCCTGAAGCAGGAAGGGACGGGAAGACGGGAGACGGGAGACGGGGCGGGGGGGGGGGGGCGGGGGCGCGTTACTGCCTGGGCCAGGTCTGGAGCAGACTGGCGTGGGGAGGAGGCAGGAGGGGTGGCCGGGCAGGCACTGGGGACCAGTGCAGTGGACCGGTCCCGGGACCCCTCGGGCGCAAGGCGCGCCGCAGCAGCCCACTCACGCGCCCGTACCTGCGGCTCGCGGCGAAGCCGGACCCGGCGCGGGGCAGCAGGAGGCCACGGCCCAGCCAGGCCCGTGCGCCGAGCATGGCTGCCGGCGGCCGAGGCCGGGACGCTGCCGCCGGGGGAGGGAGGCCTGCAGGCTGCGAGGGGCGGACCAGGGCACCCCCCCCCCGCCCCGCCCCGCCCCGAGCCTCGGGCGGGTCGTCGCCGAGACTCCCGGCCGCCGCGTGGCTGGTCTCCGCGCGCCGCCCGCTGGCCGAGCATGGGATGGCAACCCGGGCAGCCGGGGCTTGGGAGGACGCGCGACTGTGCACAAAATCGGGCCGACTCAGCTGCCCGCGGGAGGATCACCCTCATGGGAAGAACATGGAGGGTTGTGAGGCTGTCAGAGCCGTGGGATGCCAGAGCCTCAGGTCATTTTGTCCAACCTGGTCCAGACCCACCTGGCCAAATACGCTCCATCTCAAGGTTCTGCGCAAATCCCACCCACTCCCAAGAAGGCTTCCCTGAATAATAACGATGAGCCAACGTTGTGTCCTATCGTGTACTTTACACACTTGTCTCATTTGCTACATTCAGCCAATATTTCTTGAGTGCCTACTGCCTGCCAGGCACTCTGCTTAGGTACAGTGGTGGGCGGAGAGAGACCGGGCTCCTGCCCCTGGGTTGCTCAGTCTGTTGAAGGAGCCAGAAGTTAATCTGACAGCCACACACATGAATGTAGGACCACCCACTTTGGGAAGTGCCATGACTTCTCATATAAAAAGGAGCCTGGTCTGGTGGGAGAGTCGAGGCAGGAGAGGCTTCCCTGAGGAAATCACATTTGTGTAGCAGCCATGGAAGAACAACAAGAGGATGGGGTCCAGAGAGGGTGTGGGGGGAGTGCCGGGGAAGCAGTAGAAACCGATGTGCAAAGGCCCTGTGGCATAGCAGTGAGTCAGAGCTGAGGAACCGGGGAAGGCAGGCATGGCTGCAGGGCAGAGAGCCAAGGGAAGAGAGATAGGAGAGATGACGTTGTGAGTTTGGAGGAAGGCAAGCCTCCAGGTCCTGGTGGGACTCAAGAGCTGTGACTTAGGAGTTTTGGTTATGAGAGAAGAACGATATTGAAGGGCTCTGGTCAGGGGAGTGACCCTGCACATTGGAAAGGTCCCTCTGGCTTCCTAGTGGAGAATGGACTGGAAAGGGGCACGAGTGGAAACAGGATTGGTTAGGAGACCCTGGCAGGACCCAGGGGAGTTGGTGGAGGTCCGCACCTGTGGAGGTGGAGGTCATGAGAAGGTCTTGAGGCCTGTAGAGGAGGAGACATCCTCAGGATTGGCAGTGAGGGAGAGGGAGGTGTCAAGACTGGTTTGCAGAGCAGGGCTTATGCTGGAGGGTGAGGCCATTTGCTGCGGAGGGGGCACGGAAAGGCTCAGGTGGGATTTTGTGAGGTCAGTTTTGGACATGTTGGTTGGAGGTGCCCTTGAGATGCATGTGTGGAGAGAGTGTGGAGAGGAGAGGTTGGTGGGAGGAATCAGGGGGTTCAGTGTGCAGACAGTGCAGGCCTGGAAGGGCCTATCCAGGGAGCAGCACGAGGAGAGGAGCAGGCTCAGGGAACTCAGGGGTGCACCCATGGAAGATACAGAGAGAACCACTGGAGGGTCAAGGGAACACCAGGAGAGGGTGGTGTCCCAAAGGCAACGGGACAGAGAGTTGCAAGGAGGAAGGATCCTCATGGCTGGATTCTGGAAAAGCCAACTGGGATGGGACAGAACAAGGCCTACTGGCCTTAGCAACATGGGTCACTGGGTGGGCTTGGCTGACAACAAAAGCCGACTGGAGTGGGTCAGGAGGAGGGAAACGAAAGGAGGCAGAGAAGTAGCATGGGTGCTTCATATGAGGGGAAAGATGGAAAGACTTTCAAGATGGATGAGGCTAATTATGGCAAATATCAAGGGGAAGGATTTGGTTGAGAGAAGGCAACTGACATCAAAGAGAGAAGAGATCTCTGAGAAGGTTGGAGTGGTGGCGGAAAGGTTGGCAGGTGGAGGGTCTGGTGGGTGCTCCCTGGAAGAAATGAGATTCAGATCAGAGAGCAGGAAGCCTGCCTTGAATGTGAAGGAATTTAGGGTGATGACAAGCCCAAAAGAGTGACCATGGGTAAGGGTAGCTGAGAGGTCAAGGCCATCCTCCTGAATAATGGAGTCACGCAGAGTTAAGCAAGATCTGGGTGAGGAGATTGTGAGCCAAGACCGAAGCATGGTGAGAATGAGGTGGAGCACAGCCCCAGGTGGAGAGCAGGCAGGACGGCCAAGTGGCTCCAGCCTCCAAGAAGGAAGGCTCTTATAGGAGGCAAATGGTCCAGAAGGAGTTACGGGGAGCAAGGCTACCAACCTCTTCTTTGTGGGGGTCAGGCAGCACCCCTTGGGAATCCTCAGGAAAGTCAAGTCCACAAGGGAGAGCCAGTTTAGAAGAGGAGGGCCCAGGTAGGGGAGAGGTGATGGGTAAGGCAGCAACCAAGGATGGAGACCTCCCAGGTGTGTGTGGCCGAAGACAGATGGGGGCTGGACTCTGGGCACTGCCTGGCAAGACCAGGAATGAGGGGTATGATGGACTCATTGCTCACGGGTAGTGTCTCTGAAGAGGGTGGGCCGGGGGCCAAATGAACACTGGCCTGGGAGGAGCCACATAGCAACCTCATAGGGAAGAAACTCTTGTTCCCATTTAACAAATAAGGAAATGGAGGCACAGAGTCATAGAGAGGTTAAGTAATTTACTCAAGGTCGGGGAGCATAACCACTTATTACTAAGTGATTATTATTATTAAGTGCAAATCTTGGAGCAGAGTTTTGAACTTCGTCGGTCTGACTCCTAGGTATGTGCTCTTGTCCATCCTGCCTGTAACAGCCATGGTAGGACTCCCTCCCTCCCTCCCAAACAAAGAACAAACAAACAAAAAAAAGCAGCTCCTTTCCCCAGTCCCCCTTCCACTTAAGAAAGAGAGCAGCATTGTTCCCCCCCCCCCACACACACACTTTGGTGTTTCTGGTCTATGGAAGGCTGTTTTCCCTCAGTGACCTAAAAGGGGGTGGGGGCTGCTAGTAAGGCCAGACCCTGAGCACTGAGGACAAATCAGTGTCGGGTGGTCCAGTGGTGGGAGAGCATTGAGGAGAAAAGGAATGGGGGTGACCATGGTGGACTTCAGAAGGTACCAGGCCCTGCCTGATACCAAGAAACCTCCCCTTGGTTTCTTAGACCCGACATAAGCCCTCAGGAGGGGTCAGGCTCTCTCAGCAGGGCTGAGATTGAATTTCTTGTCCGGGAAGGGGGGTGGGGTGGGTGGGAAGGAAGGTGGGGGAGGGTAGAGCCAGATTTAAGGTGACTCAGTAAAACAAAGCCGGAGGGCTCCAGGACCAGGCTTGTCTCCCCACTGAGTTCCGAGCTCCTGGAGGCCGTGGGCTTAGCAATTCTTGGATCCCTCCCAGGTGAGCCCGGCACTTTGTTCACGGTAGGTCAATATTTGCAAATGAAACCTGGGGTCCAGCCTGGGAGCTCAGGGCTGTGGAGCCAGACAGTCGGAATCCCAGCCCCGGTCCGCGATAGCTTTGTGACTTTGAGCATGCCGCTTAACCTCTCTGAGCCTGTTCACTCACCTATAAAATGAGAGCAGGACCAAGGGTTATGCACTTGGTTTAACGCTTTGCTGCCCCCATTTTGAAATTCTTAATTTGGAAAAAGGGCCCCACCTCTTCATTTTGCACTGGGCCCCACAAATTATGTAGCCAGCCATGAGTGGGAATAGTATGATCTACCTCAGAGGATCGTTGTAAGGATTAAATTAAATAATCTGTCTAAAGTGCTTAGCAGAGAACGAGTGCGCAGCGAATGGGAACACCTGCCTATTGTTCCCTGCCATGAGATCATCCCCAGTGCTCATCTGTGGTAAATGAATGAAATGAGAGAATGAGTGGGAGCCTGGGGAGCATCTGGAAGCGAAGGTGCCAGGCTGTGGGGGTTGCACGGAAAGTGGGAGCATTTTTGCGCCCCACACTGCGGGGCACTTGTTCCCACGGCAGCCGGAGATTCGCGCTGTGGCCCTGACCCAGCCGCTACGCCTCGCAAAGGGTCCACTTGGTGGGAGGGGAGGCGGCGGGCTCCAGTCTTTACCACGCGGGCGTGGTCTCAGCCCTGGGAAGTCGTCAGTCTCAAGTTCCAGGAGCCGCGGAGTGCTGCGAAGGCCCGGACGAGCGCCGAGGCGGGCCGCGGGGCGAAGTCCCAGCCTTTCCGGGCTTCCCGGGGCGGGTCCTGGGGGGGGTGGGGGGGAATGACAGCCCGCTCCACCCCCGCCCCGCCCCGCCGCCCGCCGGGGGCGGGCCCTCGCGCGCGCATGCGCCGGGCGGCGGGGGCGGGGCGGGGCTGCGCTCAAAGGAAGGGGTTGGTGCCCGCCTGTGGAGGCTGCTGCAAGGGCCCGGCAGAGCCCGACGTGGGCAGCAGCGGCTGCGGCAGGCTCGCGAGCGGCGGTGTGAAGGCGCCGGCCTGCGGGAAGACGCTGACCGAGGCGGGGAGGGTCACGCCGGCCGGCACGCTGCTGAGCGGGAGGGGCAGGGAGGCGCTGTAGGTCATGGAGCCCAAGGGCGCCCCGACCGGCCCGCTGGCCGCCAAGCCCAGCTTCGGCGACCCGGTGCGCATCTGGTCCAGGGTGGGCCTGCCCTGCTCGCCTGCACCGAACGGGTTGGTGGGAGATGGAGCGCTGAGACCTGCGGAACGAGAGTGGGTGGGGGGCTTGGAGCGCGCCAAGGGACGCAGCCCTAAATGGGGGGGGGGGGGGGGGCAAGATCTGGGGTCTCAGAAATAGGGAAGAAGAGTAAGATTTTTAGGGCAGGGGCCGGGCTCTGAAAAGAGTGATGGAGAGAGCAGGAGGCCCCTAGTGTTGAGACCCGGCGGGGACAAGGGGTATCCTACCTGTCAGGAAGGGGTTTCGGGTCTTTGCAGCCTGGGGCGCCTTGACTAATGAATCAAGGTTGACCAAAGAGGAGGCTGAAGGGCCCAGGAAAGACTCTGGAGTCCGGCATGTTCGGGCCTCCTTGCTGCGGCGCTGGGTTAGCGCTTCTCCCAGGACCCCCAGGTCAAACGCATCTGGCTCCTTGGTGCCATTTTGCTTGGAACTGGGGATGGGGTCTCCAAACAGGTCCAGCTCTGGAACAGAGATGATAGAACTCATTGGTAGGGAGAGGGAATGGTCACTCTGTGGGAAGAAGAGGAGGGAGGTCACCTCTGGGTGGGCCTCATCATTCCCCAGAGCTGTATCATCCCCTGCCTCCTGCTTACCCGCAGGACTGCTGGGCTTCCCCGAGGGCAGGGCCTGGGCACACTCTGGCCCCTCCTTGGTCTCTGTGGATACTGGAGGTTTGGCAAATGGGTCAAAGGGCGAGGTACCACCTAGAGCTGGCCAAGGAGGAAGAGAGAGAGGAGGTAGGCTGGCAAAAAGGGCAGGCACTGGTCTGACCCCTTTCAGGCAAGCAACCTTCTTAACACAGACAGAATGTGCTGCCCCTTGGCACTGGAGGGAGGAGACCCAGAAGTCCTCCAGCCCCTCACCCACACCCTCTGGCCCTCTGCTTACCAGGTGCATTGGAGGTCTCCACTGAGGCCCCCCAAGGGTCAGCCCCAGTATCGGGGAGTTTGTGCTGGGGGGAGTTCTGTGCCCAGAGGTCTGTGGAAGGGGGTCTGGCGGGCAGTACTGGGGTCCGGCCCCAGGGCTCAGAGGAGGAGAGCATAGGGGGCAAGTCCCAGGGCTGGCTTCTGGACAGGGCACTTCCTGAGGGAATAGGAGACCAGGGGTCTGCAGAAGGCCCCCAGGAGGAGCCACTGGGCTCTGTGTTCGGCCTGAGACCTAAAACAGGAACAGCACAGCCATGACCTCAGGCCCACCTTTACACCCAGTCCAGGGCCCTTCCCAGTTACCCAGGCTGAGTTGGGAGGCCAAGGGTCCCATCTCACAGATGGGATGCTGACTCAGGACCCACCCAGCAAGCTGGAGCCCATATTGAGCGAGTTATGCCAGGAGCCTGGACTCCCAGGCACAGGCAGCTCAGGCCACCTTCCCAGTCAGGGATGGGCTGGGACAGGAAAGGCAGAGTGACCAGGGGAAACAAGAGAACATTTCTGAGTTTTCCATGAGCGGGTCTCTTCCATACGTGCTCTCCCATCCCTCACTACAACCCCATGTCCCAGAGGAAACTGAGGCTCAGAAGGGTGAGTGACTTGCCCAGTGGTCCTCAGCTATGGGGAGCGGGTGCCAGCAAGTGGCCTGGGAAGGAAGGGGCTTTCTGGGGCCAGCGTGGGAACCTCTTGCAGCCCTGCATGCCCACCTGGGATGTCCCATGGGTCAGCGGAGCAGTGAGTGGAGGGCAGGGCCGGGGTGGGTGCGAAGATGTCTGCCAAGTCCAGGATGGAGGACTGTGGAGTGGGAGAGGTAGCCATGGCTCAGAAGTGGGCAAGACCAGGGGAGGGCAGTCCCTGGCCCGTCTCCCTCAGTCCAGCTCATTCTCTCCTTTATTCATTTCACAAACATCTACTAATGATCCCTCACCTCTCTACAGTGCTTTGCAGTTTATAAAATGTTTACTCATCCACTTAGTGCCTGATGTTCATAACAACCCTGTGCAGTAGGTAATGCGGGTAGTGGTGTGCCCATTTTACAGATGCACCAGCTGAGGCCCAGAGAGGGGAGAAGCTTTGCATGAAGTCACACAGCTGGGGAGAGGCAGAGCTGGGATAAAACCCGGGCCTGCCTGACCCCTTCCTCAACTGTCGTGATCCCCAGCCCATTGGTGGTAAAAGATCTTATGACAAGTCTGCCTTCCTAAGTCAGAAACTAGCCACCGTGAACATGGGCAGAAAGGGGACAGAGACACCCTAGGGGTAGCATGCACTGCTTTGGAGGGTGGCTTTGTTCCCAGCAGCTACCCACTCCCCTATTCTTGGAAAGTATGTGTATGAACCCAAGATATTGTCAGTACCATGTGCCTGAGCCCGCCCTCCCAGCTGCATCCACAGCATCACATAATCCTAGAACACCAGAGGTGGAGCTGTCCAACAAAAGGGGGAAACTGAGGCCACAACAGTGATGTGCCCCAAGTCAGAGTGGGAGCAAATCTAGAACCCAAATCCTGGGGCCTCAGATCAGGATTCTTTGTATCCCACTTCACTCTCAGCTCAGTCATCAGCCCGTGCGGTCTGGGTCTGGGGGCTACCACACCCCTCCACTCTCATTTTCATTGAATAAATGCTTTAACAGTGCTTACTGTATATGAAGCGTGGTTCTAAACTCTACAAATATCAACTCAGTTCATGTCGCAGGCTCAGTCAGCCCATGCACCGCAGCCTCTCCCTACCTGGCTGGTTTCCAGCTTCTCCTCCTCCTTTCTCTCTTCTCTCTCCGGCTTTTTGTCTTGCCAACGGCGGACCGCAGCCCCAGTGCCATTGGCCACTGGGGAGTCATCTCCCGGCCAGGACCTCACCTCCTGCAGAAGGCAAGAGGAGTGAGGACAGCATGAGCAGCCCAGGCTGGACTTGAGGGGACTGGAGCTGGAGTTGAGAAGGGTGCAGTGAGAGAGAGGTTAGGCACAGCAGGACCGCCGGGCAGAGCGGGAGGAGCCTGGTTAGTGCCTATGCAGCACCTGCACCAGCACGTGCACCTGCTCTTGCTCCTACACCAGCACCTGCACCAGCACCTGCTCCTACACCAGCACCTGCACCTGCACCAGCATCTGCACCTGCTCCTACACCAGCACCTGCACCAGCATCTGCACCTGCACCAGCATCTGCACCTGCACCAGCACAGGAGGCTCGGCCCACTACCTTCTCATGCTCCTGCCGGCTCAGACGCAGAGCCAGCTGCAGTTGCAGATCCTCATCCCTGTGGGAGGCTGGGGGGACTGGCTGTGAGGGAGGAAGAGAGGGGTGAATAGGGCCCAGTGCTCCGTGCACTCCCAGGCCACATAGCCCTGCAGGGGGAAAGGGATGGAGAGAGAAGTGCCCACCCTGAGTGGGTGCGAGCGGCCGGCTCCCAGGCAGCAAGGTGGGTGTGGCCTCCTCCCTGCCTGGATCTGCTACCAGTTTCAAAATCCAGAAGCTTGATCCTTTTCTTCTGGGTTCCCTGAGTGCCCCCAAGCCCAACCCCAGCTGCTTCCCGCCCAGTCTACCTGGATCCACAGAGGCAGAGCGGATGATATCGGGGGTGGTTCCCTGTCCCCCCAAAAGGACAGCTGATGGCAGGGGTTGTGGGGTCAGCACATCTCTGTGTCTCCCAGCACACTCACTGTTTCCCTTCCACGGGACTGCAGCAGGCGCGGAAGACACACACGTACCCTCAACCCACTAGGTACTCACTGCCCTTTCTAGGCCCAGCCAGAGGGGACTGGAGGCAGGGAGGCAGTCCCTGCCAGAACAATCGCAGGGACAAGGACAGGCCCGGTGCTGTCCTTGGGAGCTGGACTGGGGTCTCGGGGCCCAGAGTAGAGGATCCTAGGAGTCAAGGGTGTGGGGCATCGGGGTACCCTTCCTTCCTCCTTCTAGTCCCCCCCATGCCACCCCCAGCCCAGCTGTGGGGCCTCCCAGGCTGCCCCAGGGGACTCACCTTCTCAGCCTCCTCACGGCTCATGGCCAGGGCCAGCTGGAGCTGCAGCTCCTCTTCTCCTGACGTCTGGGGCCGGGCCTGCTCCAAGTCAGAGGTGTAGCGGGGCGACGAGGAGGAGGCTGCAACGACCAGCAGCAGCCATCGTGGCTTCTGTAACCACAGAGGTGCCCGCGCCACTCCCCCCCCACTTCCCCCCATCAGAAAGTTAAGGCTCAGAGAAGGAAACTGAGGAGGAAGGAAACGGCCGGCAGTAGAGGGCTCCAGGGGCCCAGGCGGCATGCCTGGCCCTTGGTGTACGGTTCCCCATTCCACCCCCGCCAGAGACTCCAATCCCTCCTTTACAGAGGTGCCACTAGCTCAGGGTTGCCTGGCCGGGCTCCCGATGTAAGACTCAAAGCCAGGTCCCCTCCTCCGGCTCCTGCACTCTTCCCGTGGGAGGGTCCCATCCTGCTGGGGTCCAGTGAGGAGGGAGGTTTCAAGGGCTGTCAGTCAAGGCCACGTCATCAAGGGCTTTACGAAAGGAGGGCCCTCCTGAATACCCCTCAGATCCAGGAAGCCCACAGCAGGGCAGGGAGGAGAGTCAAGAACGGCTCTGCAGCCACCCCTGTTTTCAAGGACAGTGCCCTCGAGCAAGGGGTCATGAGGAATGCCACTGATGGAACGCCCTGTGCCATGTGTCTGGGCACAAGGCCAAGGGCATTCCTGGGCCTGGTCTCACTTAATTCTCACATCCAGCAACTGGAGTAGATAAGATTTTCCCTACTTCACAGATGAGGAAGCAGAGATTCAGAGAGGCGGCTGTCTAGATCACTCAGCCGGAAGGGGGCACAAGACCGCATGCTACCGGATCGGGCGGCGGCCACACTGTCCCACCCTGGACAGCTCCCAGCCCCCGCTGTGCATTAACCTGTGGGCCACCTGCTGTGCCTGGCGGCTGTCTTCCGCGCCCCATTCCTCATCCCTGTGAATGCTCGTGACATCCCTCGGAACTCGGGCTGCCCCCCAGCCCCAGCCCCAGGGCTCACTCACAGTTGTAGGAGGACGGGGAACCGCGAGAGCGACCGAGGCCCGGCTGCCCGCTGCCAATGCCCGTGCCCTCCAGCGCCATGCGCTCCTTGGTCTTGAGGGCATGGGTCCGCTCCTGCCGGAGGCGCTCCTCGTCCTTGAGCAAGGCCATCACCTGCTTGACCTTCTCGCGCACGTTGACGCCCTGGTCCTTGCCGTCGCGGTCGATGTACTGGAAGTCCTTGAGCGTCTGGATGGTGTAGAGGTTCTCGCGGCACTGATGGGCCACCCGCTCGGAGCCCGTCTTGAGCAGGTAGTCCAGCAGCGTCAGCGCCTTGTACACGTGCCGCCAGTTCTTGCCACTGTCGTTGAGCCGCCGCCACAGCATGCCCATGACCTCGGCGAAGGCCACTGTGTTGAAGGTCAGGTCGGCGATCTCCGACATGAGCGAGCTGGGCGGGCCCCACGGGTCATTGCTGGTGGCCTCGCGCACCTTGATCTCCGCCTCCGAGTAGTTGTGCACGATGTTCTTCACCTGGCGCCGCAACGCGGAGGTCGTCATGGCTGGGGACTTGGAGATGGGCGGCCCCTGCCCCAGCTGGAGGTGGAGGGCCGAGGGCCACCGTCTCGAGGTCACGGTCTCCAGAGATGGGCCGCCGTGCTCTCAGCAGAGCGGCTGCGTCCTTGGGTTCCACATGGGTCTGAGGAAGAGAGGGACGGAACTCAGGGGCGATGGCCCGCCTCAGCGGCCACTCAGCCACAGACTGAAGGCCTGGCCAGGGGTCCCCGTGGCCAGGAGCCGCCGTTGGCAGGCACTTCTAGCTTCGCGTGCTCGTTGCTCATCACAGCCGCACTACAAAGTTGAGATTATTATTACCTCCATTCACAGACCAAGAAGTGAGGTTCATGGAGCTGGTGTGAGCCAGGAACTACCCTGGCAGACAACCCCCCCCCAGCCCTTGCCCTGAGCGAGAGACACAAAAGTCACCCCAGGAATGCCTGCCCGCCCTGTTCCTGCCTGGCTATGGCTTCCATTTCTGCCAGGATCTAGCTTAGGACCAATCCTTTCCAGCTCCTCGGTCCCCAATCTCCTCATTTCTCATGGCTTTAGTTTGTACACCTTAATTCATTCAATGCCTAGTTCCTGGGGCCTTCTCTGAGCCCAACACTGTGCCAGGCACAGAGCATAAGTCCTGGCCCACACATCCAGTTGCAGGGGCACAGACGATTCAGTCGAGCGTGGGCATGCCCAGGAGCACCCAAGCTAGGAAAATCAGGGGGGACTTCCCAGTGGAGGTGACGGCTGGAGATCTGAAGGTAAGGTGAAGCTGCAGGGTGAGGAAGGGTAGCTCAGAGGGAATACTTGAGCTGGGCCAGAAGCCCAGAGAGGAGTATGAGGCAGGAAGGTGGGCCTGCCTCTCAAAGAGACCTAGCCACAGCCCCCCCTGTGGTACACACAAGAGCACTGAGGTCAGGGAGGGGACGTGGCCTGCCCACAGTGGCACGGCGTATAGGCGGCAGAGCTGGGACTAACCCCTAGGTCTCTAGAAGATGAATCCGATACTTATTGCCAGGGTTGTAATTTGTAATCAATTCATCTGATTGCTTTATTGTTTCAGTTCCATCTCAATCAGAGTGTAAGCTCCCTGAAGGCAAGGCTGGTCTGAGCACCCCAAATCTGAGGCCCTGGGTGCGTGGCAGACCCCTGATACCCCGGCTGAGGGGGAAACAGGTTCAGCCTGCTGTTCTCCCCCCAGCTTCAGGACCAGGCCATCTGGGGAAAGCAAACCCAGGCTCAAGAAAAAGGTTCTCCCAGGGCCCTACCAGAAACCCAAACCAGAATCCCGCTGCCACAGCCGTTCCTCTGGTATGGGTACACACACACACACACACACACACACACACACACACACACACACACACAGGCTGGACCCGCAGAACGTCCACACCACCTGTGAACCACCACCCGTGGATTTTGCCCCTCTCAGCTCTACCCTGGGACTCGGCAGGAGTCAGAGGCTGCCTGTCCTGCCCTCCCCCCATCTGGACTTTCCCTCCACCCAGCCCTGCCAACCTTGGGCTCAGTTCAAAGCAGCCAGCAGGCCTTGGCAGGCTTCTTCAGGACCCAGGTGCCTGGGAGAGCTTGGTCCCAAAGGAGGGGATCCTGTGGGACAGCGGGGTGGATGGAATGCTGACTGAAAGGCTGCCTACCTTCTGTCTGCTGTCTGTCCGTCCAGCCTGGCAGGGCTTCTGTGGGGATGCCACTAACGCTTGTTTAACTCCTGGCCTCCCCCTCACTCGTGACTCAGACCCGTCTTTACCTCCCTAACCGGTGGGCTGGAGGGTGGCAAGAGTCAAGATGAGAAATAATTGTGCCCCACAGCCCGCCCTGAGTGCACACCCCTCCCAGTGCTGGCCAGGGAAACCCGCAGAACCAGTCAGGCATCCTGACTCCACCAGCAGCCCTACCAGAGCCTGGCTTCCCCAGCCCTCCAGCCCAGCCTGGGGTACTGGGAGGGGCCCTCAGCATGGACCCTGCAGGCCTGCCTGGACTCTCCTTCTAGAAGGGGGGGAACGGAGGAGCCTTCTCTGTGCACCTTGGCTGGGGCTGGGGGGAAGGGAGGGATCGGAAGCCCCGGGGAGGTTCCTGGACTTCCCTCCCCTAAAGTTAGAAGGGACAAAGTGGGGAGGAAGAGGGGGGCAGGGTGAGGCCCAGGGAAGACGGAAGGGAGGGAGGAGGAAAGGAAGGAACGCGGGAGGGAGCAGCTGGGAGCCCTGCCAGCAGTGTTACAAGCCCAGCATTTTACCGAACACAATATGCCCAGAAATAAAAGGGAGTGAAACAGAAACCCGGCAGCCTGTGGCGGCAGCGGCAGGCCCAGGCGGGCGGGTATGGAATTACTGCAGTGACCTTGAGCCAGACCCTGTCAGGTGGAGGGGAGGACACTGAGAAGGCAGAGCCTGAGAGGCTCGTGCAGGGATGGGGTGGGGGGGCCGGAGGCAGGAAGGTAGGGAGCAGAGTGGGGAGAGGCAGGCTGGGGGGGGCAGGCCATGGGGCATGAGTCCCTGCTCTCTCCTTTATATAGGGTGCCAAGGAGAACTTTACAGGGGAGAGCGGGGTTCCTTCCTCAGGGCTGGGGAAACTGTCAGGGCTAAGGAAGTAGAGGGCATCCCCAGAGCGGGAGAACGAAAGAGCTGAGATATGTTGAGTCACGTGCAAGAGTTTGTCCAAAGTGTGTGTGTGTGTGTGTGTGTGTCCCACCGGCCGGGAGCGCCTCCCATGCCCGAGCCCCTGCCCTGCACCAGGTCAGCAGGAGCCATGGGGTGGGGGGTGGGGGGGGTGGGAGTGAGTAACTCTTGCCAGCGGAAGGACGGCTGTGAGCTAGAGCTCTAAGCTTAAGTCCGCCCTGAGGTGGCTGTGTCCTGGGACCCTGGACAGTGGTGGGGGCTGCCCTGAGGCTGGAGGTCCGCCAGGGGCTGAGGAGGAGGGGTGGGCAGAGGAGAATGGGAGTCTGTGGGGAGTGCCACCAAAGATGCTGGCCTCAGGATGGGGAGCTAGCCCTTGAGTCCTGCTTCCTGGGGGCTGCAGGGGGGGAGGAGGGAGGGGCAGCCGGCAGGAAGCCTCCAGGATCCTCTCTGGCCCTGTCCTCCTCACCCCTCTCCCTGGGACCTGGAGGAAGACAAAGCCCCAAGCCTTCCATGACAGGCACCACCCCTGCCAGGGAGGGGCCAGCTTACCTCTGGTGCAGGCTCCCTTGGCCCCCGCCCCGGGACCACGAGCAGCCTCTGCAGTGACCTTCCGACCCGCGCGGCAGGGGGACAGCACAGCCTCGAGGTCGTCCCCAGAGCCATCCACCGTGGACCCTCGTCCTGGCGATGCGCCCCCCCTCCCAGGAGGCGCAGACCCCTTGGAAGGGTGGCGGCAGGGTCCCCAGAATGGGCTGCAGCTCTGCCTCTTGGCCGCTGGTGTTTTAGACGCCCAGCCGGCAGGCGGCCCTCGGAGGAAAGTTGCTCAGCCGGCCGGGCAGGTCTGCCTCAGCAGTAACAGGACACAGGAGGACGCGCAGGGCTTGTTAACCCCTTCCTGCTGGCTGGGCAGGAGGCACCTTCGAGGTGGGAAGCCGGCCCACTGGCTGTCCCCAGGAGGTACAGATCCAGAGCCAGGGCTGGTAGCCCACTCCCACCCGGCAGTGAGTTAACCCTTCCCCCGCCTCAGCAGGAAATAGGGCGGGGGGTGGGGGGCTCCAACACCCACCCCACTCCTACCCATCTCTGCTGGGCTAGGAAGACCGCTCCCGGGGGTGGCTGGCCCTTTGGTGGATTTGTTTTCTGTGGGCTCCAGCTGGCCCCGTCAGCCACCCTGAAGGGAGCATCCAGGCTCCAGGCATAGCCCCTCTTGGCCTGAGGAACAGAGTGACCTGCTGTCTCCAAAACTCCTCCCACTCTCACCTGGAGGATGCTGCGGCCCATGAGGTTTTTATCCGAAGCACCAAATGCAAAACCAAGCAGGTGGGAGACCGCGGCCACCTCCCCATCTCCCGTCCCCACCTCTGCTCCACCAGCACTTAAGGCTGTTGAGGCCAGCCTCAGCCAAGTTGCTCTTCAAACTCTGGGAGCCTGGAGCCCACTCGGCACAGGAGGCCTGGCCCTGAATGATGATTTTGGCCAGAAAGCCATTCAGGTGCTGAGTCGAGCTGACAGCCGACTTTCCTTTCCAGGAGCCACCTCTTGTCCACTTCCCATTTCTCTGAGCGAGGGGGCGAACGTAATGTCCAGCGGCTGTTTTTAAGGCAAAAAGTGGCTCAAGGGGGCCACCTGGCCTGACACGAGGAGGGGATGAGACAGGCTGCCGAGGACACGGGGACCTGGTCTCTAGGGTCTGACAGTGCGGTAAGCATGATCCCCAGGGACTGGGACTGGGCCCTTGGCCGAGTGGAAGTGGGAGGATCTCAGGGAGCCAGGCCCCATGCAGTCCAGTTCTCCTGGTCTCACACTTGGTCATGCTGGGTGATGACACTTGGGGAAGCCCTGGTTCCAGGAAGCGTGACCCCAAAAGTGTGGGCCAAGGAAGGTCAGAGGCAGGGATTTCAAGGGGTGATGCTGTCTGTCCTGTCACCTGATTCATTCCTTGTCCTGGTAGCAACCTGCTCTTCTGCTCATCATCCCACACATCACCTTCCAGGTGTGTTTCTCCTTCCTCCTGCTGGATGGCTCCAGGAACTAGGAGGAGGGGAATCTGAGGCAGGTGCAACACGGGAGACCCCGGCCATGAGCTGCCCTCATCAAGATCCGACATTCAAGACATGAAGGCCTAAAGGAAGTGGTGGGAACCCAAAAGTTCTTTATTGATTTATTTGTGAGCCAGTTTCCCAGAAGACCCTGGGGCACATGAGTCAGGTGCAAAGACGCAAAGTCTCCTCGACATCCTTTACAGGTCTGAGCTCGTCAGCCAAGACCATCAGGTCAGTCACTAGGGTGTCCAGCAGCCCGTAGACCTGGAAGAACGGGGTGAAATCACAGGCAGAGGGTTGCTCTGTGGAAGGCACCCCCACAAGCGAGCAC